CCTGTTCTATCGTACAGAGGAATTAACGAAAAAAAAATCCCAGCACTATCCAAAATACGATATAAAAAAAACTCACGTTGATTATTTTGTAATTATTATCATAAACGTTATTTTTATTTTGTTCATCGTGTACCGCACAAAAGAAATCGCTTTTGAATGACCTCATGCATGTCGTTGTTTTTAAGCTAACGACGATAATCTTGGTTAGGTCTGAGAATCAAGCGCGGTGAGTATAAAATAATAATATGTACTATTGAACAAAACGTTAAAAAAAATTGTGTATATATTTAAGTGTGTAATATTAACTGCGAGTCTATGCATAAAATTTGTTAATTTACAAATTCCAGATATACGATTTTGAAGATAATGTCTTTCGAGTCACGCGAAAACTCAAAACAGTCGGCGGGGCGGGTACCTATAATATATAACAACCTACTTAAATTATTACACACTCGACATTTGAAGCGCAATTTATAATATAACTGTAACGATATATAATAATATAGTATTTACATATAATAAATATATATATACAGGGTGATTCACAGAGTATGCTCATCCCATTTTTCCCTTTCATAATAAATTTATAATTTTGACATTTTTCAATATTCTTCATGACCATATTATATTAAGATTGTTGAGACCTTTAGTGCTACATATTAAGGTGATACAAACTTTAATTTTTCAAATGAAAACTCCTTTTTTACTGTAAATTATTTAGTGGATAACTTTTTTTTTTTTGATATAACCTATAATACACAGTTCAAACAATAATTATAGTAATATAATCTTACATTTTCGTGGTTATTAAAATATTAAAGATAATAAGCCATAGAAATGGTTTACAAAAATATAAAATAAATGTAAACATTGGACTTATACTAATATTTATTCTAGTATTAGATTTATTCTAGTATTTATACTCGGATAATTTTTACAAATTATAAATTTTGATAGATGAAAGTTCACGTTACTAAAATTCATAAATCCCCATAGTCTCTAAACCCATCATTTTATACTTAGTATCCTTAGTCTTTAGTACACAAAGTTTAATGAAAAACTACTAGTACGAATTTTGATGCGTCAACAATTTTAGAAAAATTATCTGCTAAATCATTTACGGTAGAATAGGAGAATTCTATTTAAAAAAAAAAAAACAGAAGTTTGTCTTTTCACAGGACCTCCTTCAGTAATACAAAAAATCTTAAGAAATTGGAATGTTGTTCTTTGACTATATTTTAAAATTCAAATAATCATATAATTTAATTATTAAAGGAAAAACTGGGGGTGAGCATACTTGATGAATCACACTGTATAATAATATATAACATAATAACGAACGTGCACACGTGTGTTATAGTTACGGCTAAGACAGAGTGTAATAAAAGTAGTTTTTCGTTACAACTCGGCGGTGCACATGCGCGAACGCTCGCGATATTCGCGGCTGGTCCGAGCAAACTGGTTTATATCGTTTAGGCGTGACAATAATGTTGTACCTACTTCTCTATAAACGCGATCGTCTTTAGCTTTTATTCATTTCCTGCTGTGCCAGCCTGAAGTAATTTAATTAAGATCGGTCTAGTGCGATGCTATTCGTTTGGCACCGGTTGACCCAGGACCGTAATTTTATCGCGCTCTACGATGTGTGTATATTGTGTGTACATACGATATATCCTTACCTACCGACCGCATAACAGGTTCCAGGTTACTCGTCCCCGTTGTTTTAGTTTATTACAAAATAATATATTATATAAAACAGCCGAGAGCGTATTCTTTGTTGGAACGGTTTCCGATCTGCTTCTGTCGATACTATATTATATCGTACATAATATAATATAATACCCAATAACAATATACACACATGCCGCCGCGGTGTCCAGTTACGCGAGAAACAAAGTGTTATTATTTTTATAATTTATAATATAATGTGTACACAAAACACGATTACGTGTTTAAAGTCAAAATAGTATGTGTTTCGAACCCTGACAAAGTCGAATAATATTTTTAAACCGAATGGAAAATAAAAACTTCTGCAAAGACGCATATAGGTATTAAGGTATTCAAATGTGCGTATAATAATATTACGTGAGGAGAACACAGCAAACCTAATATTTTGTGTTATATAATAATACAGTTGGATCGACGAAATATCGCGGGACAGAGGGACGAGAATTTGTGTAATATTATTATAATTATCCGTATAAATATACGGTGTGTAGTACGAGTACCTACACGACACTATACGACACGTATAATACGAGCACAATATAATATATAAATTAAAGAGAAGGGTATGTAAGGGATAGTTTTTATATATAGAGCGCAATATATTATATGGAGAGTGACGTGCATATGCTGTATGCACATAAGTGTATAGGTATAATATGTACAATAATATAATATATAATATATATACCCCAGTACGGAACAAACCTCCAGGAGAAGAGAAGGAGGTGGAGGAGGAGTCCGGGTCTCGGCAGAAGGTTCTTGTCATCCGACACGGCCTCCCCGGCATGGAGAAGAATTGAATGAAAGACTGCACCACAAAAGAGACATTAGCCCGCTGCAAGGCATACCTATAAACACAATATATTCTAATATAATATATATAATATTATATACGTACACTGCTAGGTAGGTATATATTATATAGACTGTGAAGTATGCAGTGCGAAGAGTGCGCGCTGCACAGACGGAAAACCGACCACCGCCGACCCACGTTCTCATTTTCGGTTCACGAAACGAGAACATTGCACAATGGAAATGGTTTTTTATCGAAAAAAAATTAATCCCCCTTCGAGTAGGTTGGTTTTTTAAGACTTGCTCAGGGTACCCACTCGCACACACACAAATACTCGTCATAATATACGTTAACGTATAACGCCCGGGCGCGGTCGTGGTAGTAAACAAGAGCAGCTGCGCTGAGATTCGGTGGCGTCCGTTTCCCCTAGCGCGCTGCGCAATAACAATATTCAACGGTTACCCCGACTATATATCGTATGGTATAGACGGTATAGTACCTATATATATAGTGTAGTTTCAATAAAACTACGAGCCTATATTATTATTATTGTTATATGCGTGTTAATATTGTAGTTATACGGGGTGAGTCACTGAGATTTCCAGAAAAAGGTCGTCACGAGAAATCCGCACGGTGCAGGATGCATCGGGTTGCATATAAAGTATAATATTATATTATTCCCAAATGATATAATTATTTTACAATATATATATAAGATAACGTTATCTATATATTATATGCAGTATAGGTATCTATGTATAAACGCGATTTAATCACTCGCGCAAATATTATATTACAGCATAATAATAATAATTATAAAATATAATATAAATTATTGTGTACAGTGTACACGCGCTTCGCGTATAGTATTATCATTATTATAATATGTGCTGCACCACAGAGTCGATTCGTTTGAACGCTGATAGAGACGGCGGCGGCGGAGGCTTTTATTTTGAAGTACTACTCATATTATATATTATTATAATATTATAATATACGATCTCGTTGTGTCGCGGTTATGTGCTATGCAATGCGCCGCTGTGTGTATACTATACGCGGAAATTATTGCTGGCTGACGTTATTATAACAAGACCGATTATTATTATTACTAAATTTTTTTCTCCCAACTAAAAAATGTAATAAAGTATATTATATCATTATTATTATTTTATTTGTCGGCTGCGTTTTTGTACTGCACGGCGCGCCCGAATGCCGAGGAAGTGAAATTAATAGAAAGAAGAAAAAAATGGTTTTTTATTTCAAAAACCGTCCACCGTGCATAATTTAATCAGTCATCCGAGCAACGCGCACTGCATTGACTTGTATCGCGACTGTTTTTTTCTCAAAATCCGAGCGGTTTTTTCCAACACATTTATTATATTATGTTTGTTCGTGTCAAAACGATTTCGTGTAATGCACCACAAGAAGAGCTTTGCCGCGTGTGTATATAAATATATGTGAAGCGTATGATGGCGAAGGCCTACGCTCCTTAAAAACGTGTCTTATACTCGCTTTTCAACATGCATAAATTATAATATTATACAGGGCGACAGCGTTGACGAATCTTCATAAAATCTAAAGTAAAAATCTGCTGGACTGCGAGTCTTACAGGAATAATCATTATTATATTAGATTATTCATGTAAATAATGATTGCTGTAAAATTTTCCGCGACAACAATTTAAAATTCATCTATAATATTATGAACATTCGCTGTGGAGCGGAGATTTCGTTTAGTATTTTCGCGCTAAATTAACATTATTATAAATTATAATATACACGAGCATAGCAGGAATGGAGCAAAAGTTGTTGCCGTAGTTTGTTCACCGTTTCCCCTTTTCCGATTTGCATATCGCGCGCGGTTACCGACGCCTGTTTGAATACAATTTAATACATGACGAAATCGTACGTGTTGCGCTACGAGAAACCCGAAGAGTAAGAAAAGGGTTGCAGTGCGAGGCGGTGCTTTAGCGTTGCCCGGCAATAATAATAATAATAATAATACCGCACCCTTCCCTCCAGCGAACTAGTCCCACGGGTATGTAACGATGACGACCGCTATTGCGCGCTTGATAAATAATGCATTTATATGCGTATTATTGAATACATTTCCCTACGTCTTTGATGAAGTATTGTATATTAATTATACATACATAATATATACTTAAACGCATGCTTATATAAGGTTTTACCTCGGGTTTTACGTTTAATATTCCAATTAAATGTCATATTTCCGACGAAACCTTGTAGCTTTTTCAGAATATAAATGGTATTTTGTTTTCATAACGTTTTAAAAAAAACATATATATAATTTACAATTTATGACATTATAATTAATATTAAATAATCGTCTTACCATAATACGGACAATTTGAATATATCGATGAACGTAGTGCTGCAGCAGATAGGACACAACATATCTCCGAAATATCGCACCGAATGCACTATATAGCTTATATAGATAACACGACGATGTAACGATGTTTAACGTGACGCGGGTTTTACATTTTTTTTTTTTGCGGAAAGGTCGTGGTTTGGCGGAAGGTATAAAATATCCGGAGCGACGCGGCGGCGGTGGTGTTGCGGACGACAATCGCAGACGAAATAAAAACGGCGACAGCGCAGCGGAGCGGGTAGCGAACGACCGTGCACACACGCACCCGCACGCCCCTAACCTGGGACAACAGATCGCCGGTTGGGATGCGCGCGGCCTCCCCGCAGCAACAGCACCAGAGGGTAGTTTCGACGACGAGCAGCAGAAGAGTAGAATGGACGGACACATATATATGTAGGTATACGTGTAAAATAATAATAATAATAATAATATTGTAAACACGAACACGCGGTGCGCAACCAAAACAACGAGTTCGCGCGGCGGCGCTTCGGTTGCACCCCTCTCCGCGCGTGAGAAATTCGAAGGTTTTTGGTAACGCATATTATACACATTCACATATATGCCGGTGGTGGTGGTTGTGGTGCCCGCCCCGGTTGACAAAACTCCTCACGTGAAACGCGCTCTCTGCAGCCACGCCAACCCCTCCTCGGGGCGTACTTTCCACCCCTACGATACACTATACCGCGTGGACGAGAGAGCGCGCGCACCTATAATACACACCCCTACTACGATTTATACTGCGCACTTATTATATCATGTATATTGTATTATTACGACAGGCGACTGCGAGTGCGATTTTCGTAACGGAAACAACCGTCGCCGCCCAATGGTTTCTCAAAATATTTGGTTTCATATAATACCTATACTACCATTATTATATGCAGAGAGGTAATATTACCTCCCATGTATACAGCTGAGCAGAAAGCTAATAAAATATATGTGTACGGAAAGGAAGAATAAGAGAGCTTGAATTTTTTTTGCATAAAGTTGATCACTTGATCCAAATAGGTACTCAATTTTTGACACTACCTATATATATCACCCCCTTTATACATTTTTATCTAACGAGAGGGGGCGGCCGATCTACTAGTAGTTTTTTTTATATTATGTATAATAATGAATTATACATATAGGCAACTTCAAGGAACACAGATATATAGGCATATAGCGAACGAACGTTTTTTGCTCGATTTAATAATATAAACATATAGGTAATCTTAAGTTTAGTTCGTTTTTTCGTGTAGGTTAGGTTAGGTTATTCGTGAAATCAAGCAGTTACCATAAGCCATAGCCCATAGTATATATTAAATCGACATCCCAAATGTATACGAAATAATAATGCAGTTTTTATCGATCTCGTATATGCGTCGTCGTGGGGAGGTACGTGTGTTATTGGTTATATCGGAACACCGCAGCAGCGGCAAAACAAACAATCCCGCAGCAACCGATGTACGCACGACGCCCGGCAGATGAAACACAATAATATAATGGAAACTACAGAAAAAGCATCTGCTGCAAATTTCGACCCGAACAGTATTTTCGTTTCGATTTTATTCGATTTTCGAGGCCAATATGGGGATATATACCTATATACCATCCACGACTGCGATACGAGTTCCGCCCGCACCTGGACCGCTCGAATAATCTGTCATCAGTCTTGATCGATCTGCAGACCACGCGCGCGACAAACAAAACCCAACCGCTAACAACATATTCTAATACTTAGGCTTAGCGAAAAATGGGGAGGGAGTTTCATTCGTCACGTAAACGATATTGCTATATTTATATATTTCTAAAAATCGTGAACCGTGGTACATAATACATACCAATATAATATAATATTGTATATTTGTACTGAATGATAATATATATAAAGTATGTAATAATATATTCTGAATCGGTAAAAAAAAATATAATATCATACTATGTAGTATAATGCAGCAGTGCCACCCCACGACGGTATTACCCGGAAACTTATTTTTATTTCGTTCACACTTCCCGACCGTATAAAAATGACTTTATTGGAGGGGAGGTGTAGATTTTTTTTAGAGAGATTCATCTTGATCGTTTCAAAACCCTCCCGACGGCTGGACCATTAAAGGGACATTATTATACCCATAAAGGTCCATTTCGAAAATTGAAATACGTGCGGGGACCCGATTACGTGACATTGAACACTGCGCAAAGGCTTTGGGGTGAATATTTATTTGCACAACTCTTTTTCATTATTATTATTGTTTTTTTATCAGCCGACAACGAGCGTTGCAAAATTCATATCGAGAACAAAAAAAATACACCGTACCTATATAACATTACACACTATATAATATGTCATATAATATGCGGAGGGGAAAACTCGATTCGTCATTTTGATTATGAACGCACATACAAAACGCATCGCGAAATTAATTTTCTTTATTAAAACATAATGAAAAAAGTATTGTATTACACCAGGTTTATTTACTAGCGGTGAAATAATTTATTTGAATCAGCGGTGGACTGTGGTGGACGTATGTACGTAATGTATAATATAGAGACCTAGAAAACCGTAATTCACCGAGACACCGAAACGCAACTTTTGCACGTACCGATAAAAATATGCTCTTTATTCTCTGAGAAACTATTTATTTTACGGCAGTGATATGCAAAACAATGTATTATTTAGGTATAACAGCAAAGAATTGAGTTCAAATCAAAAAACATCATAACTTACGAGGTCAAAATATTATATATTTATGTTCATAATTTAATATTTTAATATAAATCATGACATATTGCACTTTATTGGTTATAATATCATATACTATATTATTATAATACGCGCGGTGTAGTTAGGTATGTGGTTTACATACTTTTAACTATCACAATTTGTATTATTTATACGAAATTATCGGGTTTAATCAAGATAGACGGGTACTCGACATTACGCTATATAATTGGATAGTTTATCATACATACAAGCTCAATTGTCGAACGTCCAATTAGTCAATTGCTTTTCTAATATTATTTTCCTCAATGTCTTAATATCGGAAGAAACAAGGAATTTATTGGGACTGGAATTATTTCTCAATTAATTTTTGCGTTATAATCCTATTTTTAAGCAGCGAATTTATTGTAATATTATATTAAATTACGCACACATATATCATATAAAAACAAATAAAATTTAAATATTATGTATTCCACAAGTCTTATTTATGATTCTTCGACTTTTGTATTAGCAAAATTAATTAATTTGTTGATGACTCTGACCTACAAAAGCGAATACTCGTGTGATCATCATATACGTTGTAAAAATAAGAATCAACTAGTTTCCCACAGTACACTAGACTTCAACACTACACAGTATGTACACAGTAAATTATAATACAATTTATTGTAAGTCAACTATATACAGTAGTCACATTTAACATATTATTATAATATGTTATTTACCTATCGCGCACATAATTGTATTTATCGTTGGTTTTTAGTGTGTATATAATATTTTTTAAAAACATTGAATGAGATGGATGAACTCTAGAGGGATGGCTATAAAAAAAAACTCTTCCTTCGGACCCGTAACCATCTGTCGCAGAGTTGTTGGCCAACCGTAGCTGATTATGAAACTCCTATACATCTGCTCCTTTTTATTATTATCGGCCTCCTGTTCATTGCATTACAAGCTTATACTACGTTCTTACAACACACACTCTCCCCTTTGGTAGGAAGCAACTATTATTATTATATATTTATATTTTTTTCTATCAAATAACACTTCCTCATTGGTAAAAACTAAGTCCTTTACACACAATTATTACTCAACTTCACTATAGTCAACGATCTGGGGTTACAACTATATACAATCGAACAATCCATCAAGTATCAACTTTCAACTTGGCTGTCTATTATATAGTAAGCAATGGAAAAGGTTACCCAGCTATAAGACTTACAAAAACATAATGAAAAAAAAATGTAAATACAACTGTAATTATTTGGTTTGATTTTTACTGCACTGTTATTAATTTAAATAACACTAATAAATATAAATGCAAATTTTAAACTCATATAAATGCTATAATAAGTAAAAAAAAAAAAATAGAATCTTATTACAGAGCTGAATTGTTTTTGTTTTACCTACGTCATTTCAATGTCATAATATGTCATGCAATATGTGCCTTTTTCATATAGTCATATCTGATGTATAATACCAATTAATAATTTTATATAACGTATTATTGTGTGTATACGTCCTAGGTTTCTTTTTATACAAAATTACATCCCCAATGATAACTGCGTTTTGGACTTAGATATATAACTGTGTTACATCTAAAGCGTATATAATATTCATGTTGTATTGTTGTATATCATATTATATACAATATCTAAACACGTGCATATTAATTATTAAGTTTATAAGTTTATAACCTCGATCAATTTTACAATAACATTAAAAATTAATGATTAATGATGATATAATAATCATTCAAATGTAAATTCATAATGTTAAATCAATAAAAGTCGGTGGTCTATATTTATTTAAATAGTACATAATTGGTTTTTATCAGTATTCCACATGGACAATTATTATATTAAGCACATATATCACAGGTTAAGATCTAAAGCATTACGCCTATTTATGCCTATAAGCTATACAATTAATTACTAGTAACTATAATCTATACCTATAGTAATGATATTGTTAAGACGTAGGTGAAATAGTTTTAATATGAATTATTAACATTTTAATATAATTATTATATGTTTAACTTTTGAAAAAAAATCTACTGAAATGGATAACTGAAAACAATAAATGATAAAATATCAAATTCAAATTCACACAAACTGAACAATTGTACAAAATATAATCTTATATAATATAATAGAACGTTCTTTTTTTATAACCTCGAAAAAAATATCACTTTAGCCGAGTGTTCCTTATATTAGTTATTATGTTATAAACTTATATTTATTAAAACCTAGATTCAATTTAAATTCAAATCTCCCATAGTAATTGCAGATAATAATAAAACTGGGAAAATAGAGAACTGTCATATGTATATATATACATACTGCACTATATTTTAGAATAACGGTTGTATAAAGATTGTTCAATAATTTGTTGTCTTGTTGTATACGTATTAAGTTTATGTAAATATCTCCGAACGTTAAACACAAAAGTTAAATAGCGCTTAGATTTTTTTATGGCGTTAAAATTGAATAACTCTTATTCCAATCGTCTATATATTGGCAACCTATATACAGGTAGCGCCTAACTGTATGAATTTGTATTATTTATCCAAGCCCAGTAACGCGTGGTACTAATTCTCAAATTGTACACAAACAATATGCATTTGAGATTTGAGATCGTAAAATATGATTTATAAACTACGTACCTATGCCTAATACATAAACATA